GATTTGAATGCAAAGGGTGGAAACAGATAAAGGATCAGTAGTTGGAAAATATGGCCTTGGTGATAGAAAAGATGTTGGAGATCGCATCATAGAATTTTACAAGATCAGTGAATATTTCATTGTTAACACATTTTTTAAACAACTTAAAAGAAAAGAATACGCATGGACCTCATCAGAGGTAATACACAGAAATCAAATTCACTACATTTGTAGAAGGAGTCAGTGGAAAAGCTCCACATCATCAGTCAAAACAAGGTCAGGAGCATACTGTGGAGCAGATCATCAGTTGCTCATGTGCAAGTTCAAGATGAAGCTCAGGAACATTAAAACAAGTCTACAAAAGCCAATATATGACCTTGAACATTTCCTGCCTGAATATAGAGATCATCTCAAGGACAAATTTGATGATTTAGACATTAGTGACTGGAGACCAGAAAAGTTGTGTGATGATATCAAGAATATGATACAGGAAGAAAGCAGAAGCTCATTAAGAAGACAGAAAAGAAGAAAAAGACTAAAATGAATATCAGAAGAAACTCGAAAACCTACTCTTCAATGTAGAGATGCTAAAACAAATGGAAGAAATGAGTAGGTAAAAGAGCTGAATAGAACATTAGAAAGGGCAGGTCAAGAAGACAAATTCAAATGTTATAATTAAATATGTAAAGATCTGGAGTTAGAAAACTAAAAAGGGAAAAACATACTCAGCATTTCTCTAGCTAAGGGAACTGAAGAATAAACTGAAGTCTCAGCTTGCAATATTGAAGGATTCTGTAGGCAAAATATTGAATGATACAGAAAGCCTCGAATGAAGATGTACCAAAAAGAAATCATCAATGATCAAACATTTCAAGAGGTAGCATGTAGTCAAGAGCCAATGATACTGAAGGAAGAATTTCAAGATACATTGAAAGCATTGGCAAAGAACAAGGCTCCAGGAATTGATGGAATACAAATAGAAATCTTTCTACAAACTGATCCAGCACTGGAAGCACTCACTCATCTATGCCAAGAAATTTGGAGGACAACTACCTGTTCGACTGATTGGAAGAGAGCCAATACTTGTGTCCATTCTAAAGAGAAGTGACCAAAAGCAATGAAGAAATCATTGGACAATATCATTAATATTGCATACAAGTAAAATTTTGCTAAAGATAATTTAAAAACAGTGACAGGGAACAGCCAAACTTGTAATAAGTTGATATGCTTAAATCAACTTATAATTTATATTGTTCTCTTTAAAGTTATTTCTCCATGAAGTAGCATTTAATGCATTATTGAATTATAATTCAAGAACTTTAATGCAGTTTCCAACAGGGATAAATTTATTAATGGCAGTTTATTATAGAGACATAATTAAATTTAAATAGTGAATTATCTGAGCCCTTTTTTCTTATTTACCACATAAGCCATTTTTTATTTAGCTCATAGTAGACTCTTCTATGTCTTAGTAATTTCAATAATTATGCTTAATATTTGAGACTATATTTTAGCCTAACACTAATTCTTTCATTTAACAACCAGATTTCTAAAGTTCTTAAAATGCCTATTTTCTTAGTTACAGACTTGTTCTCACAAATCCTTTGTCCTTAAGTTAAAAAAGCAACACTTAGAAATAAAATACCAAACTTTTAATACTAGCGTTTTTCTTAGAAATTCAAACTATATTAATCTTAATCATACAGAATCTATATATATATATTTTTTTGCAAATCTTAGTCTCAACTGAATTTGGTATATTAATATAGATATGTGACAATGCATTTGAAAGATATCATATGTTCATAATAATACTTCTGCTTCAAAAACTATTGGATTTTTACTTCACTTCTCTGATCTCTCTTTTTTCCTCTCTCTCCCACACATACACCCAAAATATTTGTTGTAAATAATACCATCATATTTATTCAATTGCTTTATTCTTCTACATATATACCAGTCTCAGAATTACAATACCAATGATACCCGAATGATTACTAAAAGCAGCTTAATATTTTGTTAGCCTTTTTTTATCCTTAGAAAATATCCCATTGAGATGTATGTGAAATTATGAGTTTTAAAGTCACTTAAATAGTTCCTCTTTGAGGTTATTTGTCCAACTCAATACATCAGTTTCTTTATTTTTCATTCAGTTTTTTTTAATGTGTTTAAATATTAGCATTGTTTTCTAATTATCTAAGATATGTGCAGAGATCCAAAGTAAATCTACAAAGCAAGGTATACTCTATGAAGTTCTTCATAGAAGAACCACCACCAACATTGTGGTTCAAATAATTTTCCAGTACATGTAACCTAGTTTTTTCAACCAATTCCTTATCAATGGACATATGTATTATTTCCAGTCTTTCCAAATAAATATCAGTGACTAGTCTTGTAAATGTGTCACTTCATATTTATTCAGTGTATCTATAAGAATCCTGTTAAGGCGCTGTAGGATAAGCACTGGACTGCTAATCAACCAGGTGGCACCTCAATCTACCAGCCACTACTTGGCAACC